AAATAGACTGAGCTCTGTCATTTATTTGACCTTGTACTTGTGTGCTGTAGCTGTAATTTTATTTGCCATTCTATATAACAAATGCAGAGAAATCTAAAATATGGAGATGAACAACAGGATAGGGAAAGGAGTTTATGGCAAATATATCTGCATGGCTTAAAAAAAAAAAAGCCCAAATTTAAAACAACCACTTACCCCCTTTCACCTTCACCTCTATTAACTCTTATTATATCTGCAGCCACCCTGCCCCTTTCAGCAAGCTGCCTTGAATCAAGCCAATTTGTAACCTTGTCTGCAGCTACCTTCTGGCTAGCTCACAATAGCCAGGAAATACTTTATATAAGGGTGAGGACTTGGTGAGAAAAAGGGAAGTGACTCATTATGTGCATGAGGGGACTGGAGGTAGTGGGGGGTGATTATAACACATTTCAAGAGAGGCTTTAGCTGGCACGTAGGGTATTTTCTAATGATATCACCCCATGCAAATGTGCAAATTTCCTGGCTTGCTCTGGGTCTCACTTTGTTGTAAACAGGACCCTGTATTAACTTGAAAGCACTTTGCTGGCATAGGTGCACATTATAATTATCCTGTCTCATCTCATTTTCCAGAAAAAAATGTTTTCAGAAGATGTGAGTCCAGTTGTATTCTCTGGTTAACTGAGTTTCATGTCCTCTGCCTCTGGCAACTATAATGTTCGATTTCTCAGGAGGATTTAGAAGAAAATGCAGGATGTAAGTATGGGTGAAGGAAAGTCGATTTGAAACCATGTAAACCACCAAATGAGCCAGGGCTATTGTGAGGCGTGGATGCAGGAACCGAATGTCACTCTCCAAATGGTCTTCTGCACAGCTACGGCTGGCGGGCAGTGGGCTTCTGTCTGCTTCTGAGATTTGTAATTTGGGTCTTTGTGTTTGCTGTGTGGATCATGACAGTCTTGCTGTGAATGTGGACTCCAGTGGAAGCATACCAGTGTCATAATCTACAGGTTAGCTCTACCAAAATCCTATGTTAGATTTTCAGATTTCAGTCCCAGAAAAACTTTGCTTTCATTAAGAAACAATGGTTTTTCATTTTTGATGGTTGATTGTATTTCCCTTTTTGCTTTGGTTACCATGAAGCTCATGGCTAAATCTGAAGCTTTAATAAAGACCATCTATAATAAATGGTCTTTTTATGATCCTCTTTTTCTCTTTTTTTTGTGTTTTTCTACTATGTGGTAACAGTTTACCTATTTTCGCTTATCTTCTTTTCCTTATTCCCTAGTTCTATTTTGACATTATTTTTTATCATACGTGTTTATGTAAGCTATTTCAAATCCTTTGTGGAAAGAGGAGAGTATAAGCCAACAAATAAATATTTCTCTAAGCTTTAAATCCTATATCAACTAGAAATACTTTTATTTATCATGTAAAGTCTCTTTTGGATTCTCTGGAGATTAAGCCCCTTACATTTTGGAAGAGATTTCATAAAAGCTGGCTATATATCATTGCTACATTTTCGGTGTTAGGGAACCCATTCTGTTTTCTTTCATTTTCACTTCTGCCTGTTCCATTATAGCTAGAAAGCAGAGCTGTCTTGAACAGCGCTGAATGCCATCACCAAATGTAAGAAGTTATTCAGTCTCCATGCAAGCAAGATTCAGCCTCAGTATGTAGGAATCTTCCTTTAATATAAGGACTCTTGGTGAGTAACTGGGAATCATTTTTACACAGGAAAGCAAGTCAACAGAGCATACGTCTATAACCTGAAACCACTTCTTGGATGTTGTTAGGTTGAATATATACATCTCTCCCCTCTCCCCTCTCCCCTCTCTCTCTGTCTCGGGTGTGTGTGTGTGTGTGTGTGTGTGTGTGTGTGTGTGTGTGTGTTTGTATGTGTGTATCCCACAATATCAAGAGGATTGTTGAGGAAGTTCAGAAATCATCATCATTCACTCATTCCCATAATTACAACAAGATGACAATACTTTAAAGAGAATACCCGGCACACACATGCCCTGGACACCAGGAGCTGTCCCACTCAAGGAAATGTCAAAGAGAAAATCCACTCTGGCTGTCTCTATCCCCATGCCACACAACAGAGCTCAGAAGTTTCCCTATTTTGTTTTCTTGTGAACCCCCCCCAAAAAAAAATCCTAATTCTTTCCTGAGCATAAGCCATTTTAAAGCCACCATATTTATATACACATTGAAAGAAAATAAAACTGAGGGAGGGATATCTTGAGAGTCAGAAATACAGACATAGCTATGCTCTGTACCAAACCAACATGCTCATGGTCCTCCTTAACAATTTCACTAGAGAAGTCTTTGATGACAATTGCACGTTGTCTTTATTTAACAAAACTATTTGAAAAGGAAAGGAGGGACCATAACTTTACAGATTCCTTATCACTGTCCAGAATTTGATGGAATAACCACTTAGCCAAAGTTGTAGAATACAAGCAGAGCGTTTGGTTTGCACTTAACGAAGGGTGTGTGTGTGTGTGCGCGCGTGTGCGCGTGGAAAACTCCTTTCTGGAGTTTTAGCATAGATTTTTTTTCCCCTCATGCTTCGGGCATTTAAAAATATACAATGTTCTTATCAGATTATTTTCATATTAATCCAGAACTATTCTTAAGCTTTAGCTCTGAACTCTAAATAGATAAATTGGTATATACAAAAATCACTTTCTACCGACTGACCCCTCATCACTTCAGTTGCATAGTGCTGCCAAATGAAGGCCCCTATCTCCTATCTCACAGCCTCTACCTGCATATTTGACAGTTTCTGCCAACACTGAACACATCCACCAGAGGAAAAGGCAATGGCACATTTTGGCCAGGGAATGCCCCTGAATAACTCAAGATGCTGACTACTGGTACGTGCTTTAAAATCCATTATATATAAAAGCAGGGACTGATTGCACAGAAATCGCCAGATATTATACCATGTCTACACAGCTGCTTTGTTTCACAGAAACCTCAATTATTTGTCTCAGATTTTACTTGATGATACAGTAGAAAAGCAGCTAAATAAAATACTTTTAAGGAGAAACCAGCATAGGGTTAAAGCCAAATTTTTCTTGAACAGATGATATTTCAGATGGCCGCACTATTCCAGATGCATCAATTTCCTTGAAAATCCAATCCATATATGTGCATATGCTGTGCTGGCAGGAGGACTGACTGAAATGGCCAAAACCCAAGAGCTAATATTCTTTTGGCCAGAATAATGCAATTATTATTTTCCTAGCTATCAGTCTAAGCATACAGAGCCATCTGTTATGCAAAGCAAACATACACATCTCAATTACAGAAAATGCAGTTGCCTTGACAGAATTTGGATTACACCACTAACCAGGGCTGTAAAATGTGTTTTGAGCTAGTATATAATGGATGCTTTTCAGGAGTTCCCTAATTAGCATTTACCTGCTTAAACTAATTATTCATCCTTCTTCTTTACTGGCTTATTAAACTTTGCTGGATACTCCGAATAAACAGATGAATACGGGCATTGCAGAACAACAAACAGTGGTGTTTCCACTTCTATATGGTAATAACAACGTAACAACATGGTGGCTCACCAATTTCGGAACTGAAGATTTTCAATACTAGGTCCCAGACAGATTAAGACAAGGCTTAAAGTCTATTAAAGGCTATTACAAAACCAGATCTTTAAACAAGATACAAGAACACTAATACCCAGCTGATAAAAGCTCAGTTTCTATCATTTGGTTTGCTAAAGTCCACATAAAGTAGAATTGCTGCATACACTATAGCTGAGAGCTTGCATGTTCTTCAAGAAGCATTAACAGACAAGACCCTCGTCTGGATTCTCAACAGTAAATAATCAAATTTGGCAGCGTTTCACCTCCTTCCCCAAGCCTCCTCACATGCCAAATCTCTCTCTCTATTATTTTCCAATGCCTTTCTTGATTTAGCTATTACCCGGCAAACTCACTAACAGCCAAAAGGGTCCAGCCGTGCTGGATGTCTCCTTACAGCTGTGCCAACTTTCAGAAGCAAGGAGTCTGGGGCGGGTCCTGCTTTAAAGGAGAGAGACAAATCTTATCTCTATCTCTAGCTTCAAGGGGCAACTGAATGAGCAGTAGATTATCCAGCTTGGCAGATCATCACACACACACAAAAACCCTCCCACTGAGGGCTGTGTTTTCCTCATGCCAAACCACCAGATGAAAGGGGTCAAACTTAGCCAATCACCTGTATGGGTGCAAATGCCCAGATGTTCAGCATTTCTATGGAGAAAACATCTGGATAATTAGCTGAATTGCAAACCTTGCTTCAGGATATTTTGGCATTCATTAGATGCAGCCCACATCTTGGAATTCACTAGAACTGAAATTTTTGTGTTCCAGAGGAATATTGAGAAGTAACATCCAGGATTTTGTCCGTGGCCCATCAGCCTCCATTTTCTTTTCTTTTACCCTCCGAAAAACACATGTGAGTAATTAAATGGCAAATAATGAAAAGCCATCTTATTTTATGAAATCATCTTTCAGCGTTAGGAAGCATTTGCAAAGGCAGCAAAATATATCCTTGCTGGAACCCTCCCTGCAACACATTTTAATGGTCTCTTTCAGCATTTCTTGACTCCAAATGACTCCTGCCATTGTGTCAGCTCCCAGGATAATGCAGGGTACTCCATAAACATCCAGTAATAGGACACAAGGGAAGCACTATTAGTATGTCCCTCTCCTACTGGGCACAGAGGTTTCAAAGTTCAAAACAACCAAGGGAAGAAACTTCATTTGTTCTCAATAAATTAATAATGATCCTTGGGGGGTGGGGAGGGGAACTGAAGTTTTTGAGCACAAGTTTATTCTGAATGTTCAACACTGACACACAGGTTTCTCAGTGACTTTGAGATAATAGTTGGGTAAAGCCATTAAATAATAAATTTGATAATTCATGCTAAACAGAATATTCCTTGAAGAAGGAAAAGCATGAGGCTGAAGAAGGCTTCATAATCACTGCTAAGAATCTAAAATTGTTTTACTTACTTGTGAGAGGCCTAGGTAGATGGAGACTGTTTCGGAAATGTACAAAAATTTTCCTTCTTGATTTAGTGCAAATACAAAGCCATCCAGGGACTGCAGGAAAAAAATAAACACATAAATAGATTAATAAATATAAAGGATACAGATTTAATTAGTAAGACAACTGAGAAAAAGCAATACATCAATTTTTTTTTTCTTTTTTTTTTGAGACAGAGTATTGCTCTGTCTCCCAGGCTGGAGTGCATTGGCATGATCTCAGCTCACTGCAACCTCTGCCTTCCTGGGTTCCAACAATTATTTTGCCTTAGCCTCCTGAGTAGCTGGGACTACAGGCATGTGCTCCCCATGCCCAGCAAATGTTTGTATTTTTAGTAGAGACAGGGTTTCACCATGTTGGCCAGGCTGGTCTCAAACTCCTGACCTCAGGTGATCCGCTCACCTTGGCCTCCCAAAGTGTTGGGATTACAGGCATGAGCCACCACGCCTGGCCATACTGAATTTAAGACCATTTTTTCCCTGTGTTTAATGAAAGTCCTAAGATCATTTAGTATTGCATTATACATGAACAATTTACAAGTCTGAATTAAGACTGAAAGCTTTCTTTTACTTTAGGGACTTATACCTCTGTCATTTTGATCAAGATACATTACATTCATGTACAAAATAAGGTCATGCTGATTTTATGAGATGTTGCCTTTATTTTTTTGGATTCACTGGGCACTGAGATTAAATCAGCAAGATTCTCCGTTAAATAGTTGAACAGGAATGAAGATCGTAATGAAATGAAAGAAAAAAGGCTTCCTATATCAAGAGCAGGTAAAAATCACTACTTGAACCACTATGAACATCAACAATTTGCTAATTAATAAGGAATTATGCCTTCCTTACTCCCAGTGCCCACTGTGTTAGAACAACAGGAAAAGCCAATACATTAAGGGAGAATGTATATGAGCTGCAATCTTACAAACTGTAATTCTATTTTGGAAAACTCTCTATTCAAGTTTTATAGCATCAGTTCTAGTTTCTATCACAACTCCTGAAATGGAAACAAAAGAAAGAAAGAAAGAAAGAAAAAGGATGCTACACATTATCTGTAACTCCTAAAACCTCAGTCCACTTTCCAAACTGAGGGTTGCATTTTCAGTTTGATGAAGGATGTAAATCATCATGAACTCCAACTGCAATATAGCATTCAAACTGAGAATAAATTTGTTTCAAATCCTTGCAGTCCAGTGCATCTTATATCCTCCATCATTCTCATGTCTTCTGTTTTGCTTTACATTTATTTTTAACAAGATACATTGCACAAGTGCTGCTTGTCCGGGAAAAAAAGTTTTAAAACGTGAGTGGTATTTAAAAAAGTCTGTGAATTTGCAAATATAGGAAAACCATGCTAGGAGCAAGATATGTGAAAACACTAAATTAATGACATAACTTGTAAAATATAGAAAGGTGGAAGAAGTGTGTAAATTTAGTTAGAAATATTTGCCTCCTCAAATCCTAGCAATAATTTAACTCTCCTAAAATACTGATTTCTTATATATGTATGTATATGGGGCCGTGTGTGTGTGTATGAATATACAACTCACACATATGTATGGATATATAAAATTTGGATTTTCTGCTGAATACAGTTGCTTGTGCCTGTAATCCTAGCACTTTGGGAAGTTGAGGTGGGCAGATCACTTGAGACCGGGAGTTCAAGACCAGCCTGGCCAATGTGGTGGAAACCCCATTTCTACTAAAAAAAAAAAAATACAAAAATTAGCTGGGTGTGGTGGTATGCGCCTGTAATCCCAGCTACTTGGGAGGATGAGGCACAAGAATCACTTGAACCCAGGAGGAGGAGGTTGCAGTGAGCAGAGATCACGCCACTGCACTCTAGCCTGGATGACAGAGCAAGACTCTGACTCAAAAAAAAAAAAAAAAAAAAAAGGATTTTCATGTTTCCTGACCTATTTTCACTGCTCCATTGGTCAGAAACTAGGGATGACACCCAAGCCCCTCCTCTGATTTCTTGGGTTCTGAAAACAATTCAAAAGTCACACTATACTGTTCCTTCTAAAGAGCAAGTTACATGAGAGATGAGCTTTTAGCCACAGTAATACAATAATACCAGCTTACATTTATTAAGCATTCCATGCTAAGCAGTTTGCACATATTGTCTCTCTTAATTTTCACAAGTGCTATATGAAGTTATTGTATTATTATCTGCATTTTATATACAAGGCAATTGAGGATTAGTGAAGTTAGGTGAGAAGCCTATTCCTAGTTTGCAGTTCAGATTTGAACCTTGGCAGTGGGACTTAACTAACAATACTACCTTCCCACAAAAATAGCGATTCTTGAATTGACATGTGTGAATTAATGAAAAGACAAATATTCACGGCATTTATAAAATTAAAATATTTACACTAAGAGGCAGCCTGTGACATCTTAAACATCGTCCCTTTTGAGCAATTTTTGTTCAAATGATAGAATCCCCCCATTGTGGGTGGAAGACAGAGTTCATGCAGAAGGATGGCAAAAGAGTACTCAAGTTATTTCCACAGGAGGTCACCTGGCCATTTTGCTCCGAAATAGCTCCCGGAACCAGCTATGGGGAATAAAATACTGTCTAAGGGAACTGGGCTCTTTACCTTTGACAAAACGCCAAACCCTCTGGAAGCTTTTCTGATAGAGCCTTTCAAGCACAGGGTGTAGTATACTGGAACCTCACTTTGAACCAGTGCAAAGGGAGAGATATTTCCTTCCTAATGATTGGGAAGAATCTGATTTCAACATACCTTTACCTCAAACAAGATGTCTCCTGAGGATGACTCATGAGACTTAGGACCCTCCCCTTTGTGAATATTGCCTTGGAGATTATAAAAGGGCTTGTTAGGTTTTCCATTTGACCTGATAGCCATGGCTTGGTACGCAATCATAGAAAACTGTGTAAGTCATCTTCTCAAATTTTAATATGTCATTTTCAATTAGAGCAACAACACAAAGACAGGTCACAGGAGAACTTCTAAGGACACAAGGGACAGTTGGAAACCTGTCTGGGTGCAGAAGAATGAACTGATGAAGCTGGTGTGGGGATAATCTCCTATAGTTCTAAACATTCATTTTACAGCGGAGGAAACTGAGGCACAGAGAGGCTAAGTGGCTGGACAAGATCAGATAGCCAGTTAGTGGCAGAGCCAGGATAAAATCTTCTTCACGCCCATACAATTATTAAAGCATTTGTGGCATTGTATGTTTCTGGTTGGCTCATTCAGTTCTCCAACCAGAGAATTTTTGAATCACTGAATTTCTCAACAGTGGGACAATGCCTTATTTATCTTTAGCCAGCACCTAAGAACTACTCAGTCAAGATTTATGAAATCCAGTTCTACCTCCACGCTCAGTGCTCCTTTTTCCTTGTATCACAAATACCATAATGACTAATAAGTATAAGGCTGGTTGCCTGGCTAGGAGGCCGGACACACCCACCCATTCTGCACTTGGCACCTGACTCTGCACCCGGCACCCACCTCTGCACTTGGCACTGCTCTCTGCTCCCGGCACCTGGCTCTGCACTCTGCACCTATGGTTCCCCTGGAAGGCCCCGGCTGATGCAACCCTGGCCGGCTCTTGCATTAGAAAAACCCGCCCGACAACCTGCCAACCAATAACGGCCCACCCCATCCCAATCCCGCTCTCCTGGAGCCAGTCAGAGCACCCAGCTGTTGCTCCTTACTCATAGCCCTAAAAACCCCATGCCCCAGGAAGTCAGTGCGACTTCTCTGGCCCCTTTTCCCGGACCATAGAACCTCGCCCGGGGGCTGAATAAACTGGCATTTAATTTTCTTATACTGGCCTCAGTTTCCTCATTTTAAACTCAGCAATAATCCTTACGATAAGGATGGAAACTATTTTCTTGAAGAGTCCAGCTTATGGACTTAGATTATTTGCAGATTCAGATTCCACAGATTTCTACTACGGTCTGGGATATCTCCTGATATTTAGAAAAGAGTGGATTTTTTTTTATGTCCTCTAAAACACCCAGTCCTATTTCTGAATAGATGTGTCACTTGCTATCTACGCATATCCTTTACTTCCTTACTAAAGGGAATTGTGATTTTTAACATTAGGTTCAGATTTCATGTAGTTACTAAAATATTTGAGGAGGTTTGGGCACCATAGCAGGGTAGAGGAATATCTGGAGGCTAAACATCTGATGCTATTAAGCAGTGGCGATCTAAAAACTGGCCAGTTTTGTTTGGCAAAAACAGAGGCTTCAACACATGTTCCAATTTCCTGGTGAGATTAAAATGAGTCTATGTCTACATGACACAAAGACATCCAGTCAATTCAATTAAAAATAACAGCCGATTTGGTAGGGGAAAAAACAGCTAGTTAAATTAGTTGTTAGTTATCAGAGAAGTAAAACACACACACGCATACAAAAACACACACAGACACACCACCACCAATTGGTTTATTCACCATATTTTTCACTTTTATGCTTATCATTTTGGTCAATTATACCTATAGTCTGAGATCAATGTCCATATCTCAGATTTGATTACCTTTCAAATAAAGAATGGGATATGAAATCAGGTCTAAAGTATATTGCCAAGGTCACTTTTCCCATAGCCACTACCTTCTGATTCAGGACTGTCTCTGTCTATAGTTAGCTGTATGTTGCCACTTGGAAAAGTTTGAAGGGTAGCATTGTGGTTGGTTTAATTTGGATATTATCTTAAAAAGGTGGGAGGAGGAGGAAAACATTCAGTCAGTTAGTCTTGGAAACCAAGTGTGATAAATCTGAAAGTTCTGTGGAAGTTTTTAAAATTTTGAATCAAGAAAGCTATTATATACTGCGCTGTTCAATCACTGCAGGCTACTTTTTAATTTTTTTTAACTGCCCACTGTTTTCAACAGGCGCCAATTAAGATTCTGGGGTCAAAGGGTTAATTACATCTTCTTACTCACTATGTAGAATTTTCTGATTATTAACTAAGGTTGGATTAAGATGAAAAAGAACCTACACACATGTTAATGCTAGTCCCTCCTCGAGAAGATTTATTGTAAAGCCATGCTGAAATCTATCTGCTTTCCTCAAA